AACCTTATAAAGCTCGCTCTCCATCGGAGCATTCCTTATAATGTTCTCTATGAGATCCTTTCCTTGGTCTACTATTGCTGAGAGAGACAACTACACTACACACAAGGCCTGGAGCCTCACATGATCCCTTCAGTTGCTCTTTGGAACGACTCAAGCTGGCAACAAGCGCATCGATGGCCTCCACTACAGCATGGGGGTCGTTACTCTTCGGCCCACACAATGGAGGCATGGGCAGATAACACAATGTTCCCATCACATTCTGCACACCATGTTGTGATGATGATGCACACCAACTATCCGGCAACAAGCATTCACTTACACCTCTCACAGGGTTTTGTTCATTGGCAATCTCCTTCACAGTTCTACCCAATACTTGTGAAAGTCGATGCTCCTCCTTATCGTAATGTAGAGCTTGCATTAGTCTAGTGCTGTAAGCCCAGGATCCTGCAGCATCACTTATCCACGATGACAATATACTACCCACTTTTAGAAGAATCGCTGCTCTTTAGCCGATCGGCAAGGATCGTATCGGCCTCAGTGGCGGGCATATATTCGACATAAGACCAACGACGATCATCATTGGTGAACTGCTTGCTATCAGAAAAGTACCTCATAAGGAGCCATGCCCAACCATAAGGAATCATCTGTCCTATTGTTATCCAGGTGAGTGACCGACAGAACCGCCAAGGAGTAGTCGTAAAACGAGTCCATTGCGATTAGATAGAGCTTACTTGAAACACTGAATAGCCACTTGCCCCAGAAGCTCCAACCTGCCTTTCAAAGCTATACAGACATCCAATGTAGGGATGCGGGCCAGAGGGATGTTACTGCTCACTGCCTTGCGCCACATGAATGCTATAATATCATATCGTAACTGATAATCACACTCATGGGGGCATATAGGTGATCTACTACATCATTTTCGGGCAGTCTTCTAATGAGGGTATGCATGTACTCCATAGACACCACGTCGACTAGCAGGTCGAAGGCCTCTTCCTTGCCTAAGTCCCTTACAAGAGCTTCTACCGGCCAATCACGGGCTG